GCCGCCCCGCCCCTCCCGCGCCTCCCGCCGCCCGCCGGCCTCTGCCCTTTGTTCGCCTCCCCTCGCGGCTCGCCCCACTTTGTTCCCCAGCCCTTTGCGCTTCCCCACTCGGGCCTTCCCTGTCCGCCTTCCTTCTCCCACTTCCAGCCCTTGGGACGTCCCCTTTTCCTTGCCTCCGTCCATCACACGTCCGCGCTCGCGTTGGGCCTCCTCGTCCTCCGCCCGCCTCGGTGGGCTCCTCCGGCCCCCCGCGCCCGGCTCACCTCGCATCCACGCGGCTGAGACCGCGGCCGCGCGCCCGCATCCCTTCGAGGCTGCCCGCCGCCTCCCCGCCAGGCTCGGGCTGCGGCGTGGAAGGCAGAGCGGTGCCTCCCGGCCGCTCTCCCTCTTCCTTCCCACCTCTGTACCTGTCCCCAGCCGCCTACAGTTTCCTATGCAGCAGTCCTAGGAAGGGAATGAAAAGTTGAAGCCAACAGTACAACTCCTAAGGAAAAAAAAAAAAAGCATCTTAAAGGAAAGTCAAGCTGGGCAGCAAAATAATCAGGTATGAAGTTATAAAGCCCAGTTTGCTAAACTCCAGGAAAAAAAAAAAAAAAAAGACTGATGCTATGTTTAGAGCAGGATTCAAATTCCTCCGAAAGCCATCCACTTTGAAAAATGCATTAATTATTCCCTCGTCTACAGATTGACTCCTGGGATCTGCTTCCTTATTATTACTAGGCCACCGAGGCACCACTTTAAAAGATAATTTACTACCAGGCACCTGCCAAACACCCAGACTGCTTCAAGAACAAATGAGGAAAAAGTAAATGGGTGTCTTACTATTCCCAAGGGCTCGATGCTATATTTGATCAAAAGCAGAAGCTGAGTACCTCTTAACGTCTAGGTCGCCCAACACGCCAGATGCTAGAAACAGCTTCAAGCAGGCTATTCTCTTTAGAGCCCTTTAGACATTTATTCTGAAATCCCTGCTTATTGATTTAATTTACACGGACTCAGGGCACAGCTAAGCTCTGTGACCCTGGGGGAGTCAGTTAAGCTTTCTCAGTCTCTGCTGATTCATATGTAAAATGAGGATATCCTACCTGCCTATCTCTGGAGTGAAAAGGTTAAATGAGATAATGTAAGTAAATCCCCGTGTCCTAACATCCAAGACATTGAAAGTTTATATTCCAGAAAAGATCTCAGAATTCACGGCACAAACAGGCATGGAGGGAATGAGAACCAGACCAAAAAAAAAAAAAGCCCTGCGTTTTTAGCTGCACATCCCTCTGTGAGACAAAAGATGCCCTCCATACTGAGTAACCTGTGCCCGCACTCACTCTATTCCATTTTGCATTCTGCCGTGGAAAACATTTTTTTCTCCTGCTGTTCCTTATCAAATATATTATTTATCACAAAGATTTTTCCTTCATAGCTCTTATACTCAGAACTTACTGTGCATTCAGGGATACAAATTGTTGCCAACAAATGCATTTTTTAATTGGCCTCTTAAGATTTTGTGTGTTTTTTTTTTTTTTTTTTTGGCCTTCTAGAGCTAATATTGAGTAGTATTCAGTCAGACGCAGAAAAAAACATAAAAATTGTTATTAAAGTAATTATTTCACTATATCACTGTACAAGTGGCAATCATGTGGAAAAACATGATTTTGTGCAAGAACATAATTGTGGTTCTGCAAAAAAAGGAAAAAGATGCAGAATCATTTTTTCCAAATCAGTTTCATAAGTCATTCTTTTTCAAACCCACCCCCAAGACATCTTCACTAAGGTATTGAGAGACCTCATCTCACTGAATCCCAAAAGCTTGTTGAAGAATCTCCATTTGATGAGACATCTATTATATAAAATATCATTTCAATCCAGCAGTCTACATAAAGCCAATAAAAGCAAAATGGTGACACGTGCGATCCATTCCTCTGGAATGTTGTTGGGTAGTTCCTTTGGAAATGGCTTACCAGTTAAAAGTATTCCAGGTCATTCTTGCCTCCCAACAAACAATTGGCCAAGACAAGCAAAAAACAGTACCAAAAGTTTACTTGAAAATTGAGGGTTGGCTGGGTGTGGTGGTGCACACCTGTAATCCCAGCACTCAGGAGGCTAAGGCAGGAGGATTGTTGCAAGTTTGGCCAGCCGGGGCTGAAAGTGAGCTTAAAGCCTCCCTGAACTGCAGAGGGAGACCCTGTCTCTAAAAGATTTAAAAAAAAAAAATCGAGAGGTAAAGGAGTAAAGGAAGAATGAGCTCTGCAGAGTGAACTTGGACCAAACAAAGAGAGGAAAGGATAAAATGAAATTAAAAGTGCGCTCTGCAGAGATGCAGACTGGGCTACTGTGAGGAGTCCGGATAGCGGGCTTCTTGTGGTGTCTCATCTCCTCTGTGCTGTCCACACTGTATATGGGGTTCTGGCGCTGTCCTGGGGTCTGGTCCTTGACAGGTCCCGCTTATTTCCCAACCGGCTTTGCACACGCTGCCTCCTCTCTCAGTATGAGCCCCATTCTTCACAGCAGGAATCATTCTGACCCTCCCATCACTGCAAAAATGTTACCTCCCCAGAGAAGCCTTCCCTGAGCAACCTAAAAGAGGTTTTTTAACTTTTGTTCTTTTTCTATATAAAATGATCCCAATTTATTATCTATTTTTTCTGTTGGTTTATTTATAAGACGCCTCCATTAAAAACAAACTCCAGGAGAGCAAGTGCCTCATGCAAAGCACAAAACCTTTCTCTTCATCAATAAAGGATCAAGGCCTGGTACAATAAATCCTTTTATGTAGTGTTATAAAAAAAAAAACACTGTGAATATTCAAAATATGATAATTAAATTAAAATTTTATTACCATAAAAACACACTGCTATTAATCCTCCTCGAAGTACTCCCCCTTGTTTTGCACACATACATACCATCATTCTTGTCACTTTTTTTCTTTTTGGTACTAGGACTCAAACTCAGGACCTCACACATGCCAGGCAGGTACTGTACCACTGAGCTATACCCCTGGCCCTTCCTGTCACTTTCTGAAGCAGTTTTGGAAGTCCTTTCTCTTGTGTGTCTTTTTGTGGTTGCCTGGGTGTCCTAACTGATTCAAAGCACAGCAATTTCTGTCAAATAAAAACTTTATGGTGTGGCTGCATCCACCTTATTCACTAAATCTGTCACCATGCAACTTCTGGCTCTTCTCCAAAGTCAGAGTGACACTGAAAAGGAAACATTTTCGATTAATTCAGGATATGGAGGGAGCCATGACAGTGTAAATAAAGACACTCAGGAAAGAGGACTTCCGGAATTGCTTTAGAAAGTATCAAGAATGTTAGGAAAAGTACTTTCGAAGCAAGGAAGAATACAGTATTTTGAAAAGGATTAATGGCAATGTATTTTTTACTGTAATAAATTTTTTTTTTGAGACAGGGTTTTGCTATGCAGTTAAAACTGGCCTTGAACTCACTTTGCAGCCCAGGCTGGCCTCAAATTCACATCAGTCCTCCTGCCTCAGCCTACCAAGTGCTGGGATTACAGGCGTGTACCACCACGCCTGGCCTGTAATAAATTTTTTAACTTAAACATTTGTATAGTTTAAATTATCACATGTAATAAATTACTTTGTCATAAATAAATGACAAAAATAAGGACTACCTTCAAGGGCCTCTGGCTCTTAAACTTTGAGATATATAGGAATCGCTTTTATCACAAGCACAGTGCTAAAAGAGAAGTTTGATATGTTGGAATTCATTAACATTAAAAACTTAGTGCTTCAAATGGCCTCATCAAGAAAGTGAAAAACAATGCACAAAATGGTATAAAGTGTCTTCAAATTATAATCTGATAAAGGTCTTGTATCCAGGATATATAAAGAAGTCCTATAACTCAATAAAAAGTGTAAATAACCTTTTTTTTTTTTGGTCTTTTTAAGGCAGGGTTTCGCTATGCAGTTCAGGCTGGCCTTGAGCTCACTTTGTAGCCCAGGCTGGTCTCGAACTTGCAATGATCCTCCTGCCTCAGCCTCCTGAGTGCTGGGATTACAGGGGTGCGCCCCCACACCCAGCAATAATGTATTTTTTAACTAGGCAAATGATCTGAATAGAAGTTTCTCCAAAGAAGCATAGGTGAAAAGCTGCTCAACATTATTGGTTGTTAGCAAAATACAAATCAAAACAATGGGATTCTGCTTTAAGCCTACTAGGAAAACTAGGGGCCCACCAGGATTGGGCAAGATGTGGAGAAATCAAGATGCCTGCCAGTTCCCTGTGGAAATACATGATGACGCAGCACCTGAGAAAAGAGTTTGGCATAAACTTGCCATGTGACCCAGCAGTTCCACATCTAGGTGCAGTATCTACCCCGACCCAAATGAAAATGAACATTCACATTAAAACCTGTTGTCTTAGTTATTTGTTTGTTGTTGTTGCTGAGACAAAATACCCAACATCCAAAATTGAGGAAGGAAAGGTTTATTTAGCTTACAGTTTATGGAGGTTTCAGTCCATACTTGGCTGGCTCCGAAGCAGAAGATAACAAAGTAGCAAG